GGCTTCCCCCGCCCGCCGCCAGCCCTGGGTTTTCCCTCTCCCTTTCTGAAAGCGGTGCTGAGGATGCAGCTTTGCTGCTGATGGCGAGAGCAGGATGACGACAGGCTGCAGCGGAGCGGGGAGGTGCAGCCGGGGTGGAGCAGTGCCTTCCTCCAAGGCTGAGACCAAAGCCCTCTTTAATTACCCCAGCCGGGGATCCGGGCAGGAGGAACCGGGTGCCAGACTCGATGCGCAGGTCGCAGCTTGGGTTTCAGGCCTGGGGCTCTCGGGGACGCCCGAGGATGGGCGGGCTTGGCTGGAGCATCACTGGTCCGGAGGCTTGGCTTGCCCAGGGATGGCTCCTGCGGGAAAGCCGGATCCCCTGGCTGGCACAGCAGGTCGGTGGTCCCTGCACAGTCTGTCCTGCTCACCAGAGGACACGGAGGCACAAGCAGGGCTGCAAAAGCTGCCTTTTCCCCGCCACAGCGATGCGGGGCAGCCCTGATGGTGCTGCTAGGTGGGGAGCAGCGCTGGGTGTGCTCCGTGCACCCCTTCTGCTGAGAGCAGGGGGTCCCCAAAATTCCTGTGGGGTTGCTGGGCACCACCCTTGCCCTGGCACGGAGGGTGGGAAGGCATCCTGGAGCAGCGGGTGCTGATGGCCACCGTCCTGAGTCCTGTGGTGGCTTGGGGTGGCCCTGGAGCTAGGTGGAGGGGCTTGGGGAACCCCCCTTGGTTTTGGGGCAGGTAATACCAAGGGGCTCTCCCGGTGGAGCCAGGTGGCTGAGGATGGGCCATCTCTGCTGTGGCTCTCCCAGGGGTCCCAGTCCTCTGGCTAACGCCGATGCTGGGGTCCGTTGGTGGGATCAGCCACAGCTTCTTTCTTCACCCCCTTGCAGGTGCCCTCGGCTCGAGGGAGGAGCCCGAGTTTGTGACCGCTCGCGCTGGCGAGAGCGTGATCCTGGGATGCGACGTGATCCACCCGCTCACGGGGCAGCCCCCTCCCTATGTCGTGGAGTGGTTCAAGTTCGGCGTCCCCATCCCCATCTTCATCAAGTTTGGGTTTTACCCTCCCCATGTCGACCCCGAGTATGCCGGTGAGTCCAGGGGGCACAAGGGGGACGTGCCGGGTCCCGACTGCGGCGCAGCCAGGGACATACGGCTCCGCTCCTCCGTCGGAAACCGCGCGGGCTCTGCCTCTCGTTGCTCGCTTTCCACCCAGTTGGTTTTAATTAAGCAGCAGTGCTAGGAAGCCAGCTGGGCTCAGTGGGACGGGAGCAAGCGAGGCAGAGAAACCCAGGGTGATGCCCGGCGGCGGGGG